TCAACTGTTCTCTAAACTCGCAAAGAAAGACGTGTCGTTTGTTTGGGATGAAGCATGCCAAAAGGCATTCGAAGATATTAAGAAATATCTAGCGAATCCACCTATTCTTGTTGTACCGAAATCAGGCAGACCGTTTTTGATTTATGTCAAAGCGACGAGCCATTCGTTAAGTGCATTACTCGCACAAGACGACGATAACGGTCACGAACAAGCTGTATATTATCTGAGTCGCACACTAGTTAGAGTTGAATCGCGTTATCTAATGATCGAGAAAGAATGCCTCGCACTGGTGTTCGCAATCCAGAAAATGCGATACTATTTGGTTGGACAGATAATTTATGTCATTTCTAACATAAATCCAATCCGAGTATTCATGACCCAACCGGCATCCATGAATTGGCGTTTAGCCAGGTGGGCTCTACTATTATCGCAATATGATTTATATTTCAAACAACAAAAAACAGTTAAAGGACGAGCTATTTGTGATCTTTTGGCGGAAAATCCTACAAAAGATGTGGTAGAGTTGTACGGCGATTTGCCGGATGAAACTCACGAAGTTAATGTCACCTCACATCAACGAGTGTGGCAATTATACTTCGATGGGGCTTCCCAAGCGACCAACGTGGCGAGCGCGCCCAGATGTTCTAAAATCTCCTCAGGAGTGGGGGTCGTTTTAGTTTTCCCGGGAAAGCATGTCTTACCTAGAGCATACTCGTTGACCGAACCATGCTCTAATAATGTAGCCGAGTACAACGCATTGATAATTGGACTCAATTTTACCAAAGAGCTGGGGGTCGAATACCTTGAAGCTTTTAGAGATTCTCAATTGGTAGTTAATCAGATTCGAGGAGAGTATGAAGTCAGAAATCGAGACCTGATTCCATACCACCAGGTGGCCATCAAGATGGCAAGCTCGTTTGAAGAATTTTTCATCGAGTACGTTCCGTGTCTCCAAAATGCATACGCAGACGCGTTGGCGGCATTATCTGTATCTCTGGCTCAACCTCCCGAGACAGAACAATTAATTACAGTGAGAACTCACCAACTTATTGTTCCTATCTATGATTTGGTTGCCAAAGAAGCATATTCAACAAGAGTTGAACCCGAAGTTCAAGATTGGCGTTTCCCTATCATCGATTATGACCTACACAGTATCTTACCTGAAGACGTGAAAGAAAGGGATTCAATTCGGCGGAGAGCACCGAGATTTTACTACAACGCTGAATCACAAATGTTGTACCGATGGTCATACGACGGTCTATTACTCCGTTGTCTATCCAGTAAGGAAGCAGAACAAGCACTCAAAGAGGCGCATGAGGGGATATGTGGTGCACATCAGCCCGGTCCTAAACTCTGCGACCGACTTAGGAGAATTGGATATTATTGGCCGACTATGGTAAAGGATGCCGCTGACTACGCCCGACGATGTCAATTATGTTAATTACATGCAAATTATATGCACATGCCTCCAGAGCATCTACACCCGTCAGCAACGTCATGGCCGTTTGAGACCTGGAGAATGGATATTGTTGGTCCTATAAATCCCCCGTCAGTCAAAGGTGATCGGTTCATCTTAGCAATTATCGACTACTTCTCCAAATGGGCTGAAGCGATTCCACTCAAAGAAGTTAAAACGAGTAACGTTATTGCATTCATCAAACACCATGTCATCTACCGGCATGGTATCCCAAGATGAATCATACATGACAATGGTCCTCAATTCATCAGCAACGCCTTTATCAAGTTTTGCGAGAAGTTCAAAATTTAGGACATTTCGTCGACAACTTATAATCCCACAGCAAATGGATTGGCTGAAGCATTCAATAAAACAATCATAAAGCTCTTGTCAAAACTCGTGAAAACGAATAAGCGAGATTGGGATGACAAGCTCGACGCGGCTCTATGGGCCTATCGTACCACGGTACGTACACCAACGGGAGCGACCCCGTATTCGTTGGTATACGGATGTGAAGTCGTTCTTCCATTGGAAATACAAATTCCATCTCTTAGGATTGCTCTCGCAACCCAGATGACAACCGAAGAACAACATCAGAAACGTCTCGAAGAACTCGAGATGCTTGATGAAAAGCGCTTAGAAGCTCAACAACACATTGAGTTCTACCAAGCCAGAATTTCCCGAGCTTTCGACAAAAAGGTTCGACAATGGAGTTTTAAAGAAGGAGATTTGGTCCTAGCTGAAAGACGGCCTATGATCCTTAACTCCAAGAAGAAAGGAAAATTCGAACCCAAATGGGAAGGACCATTTGTGATAGAAACAGTCTATTCAAACGGTGCTTACCGCCTGATTACCCAAGATGGTAGTAAATTGATGATGCCAATAGATGGGAAGTTCCTGAAAAAATATTATCCGTAATATGTTCAGGATAACCTATGCAGAACGGTAAGTTCCTAGAGAATCCTGTATAGGATATTTTGGGATAACCCGAGATCAATTAACTGTTCTAAATATGAAACTGATCTTTCAAATAATATGTTTTTTATTATCACGAAGTTCTTTTATAGTTTTGGTTGAGATGAGATTCAAATCTGTAAACAGTTAATCTTTCCTCACAAAACCCCTCATCGATCAAATCGATCAATGAAGGGTACACCAAAATCCGTCATGGATTAAAATCATTCAAACTCCCACCTTTCATTTGGTCAAACCTTACTATAGTTAGGACCAAAGCTAAAACCCCCTCTCGATTCCTTCTATGAACGAGAGGTCCCCAAACTAAACGATCAAACCTTTAAACAGTTAGGATCGTCTCAAACCCTCATTTGGTCAAACCTTTAAACAGTTAGGACCAAAGCCAAAATCCCCTCTCGATTCCTTCAACGAACGAGAGGCCCACAAATCGAGCGATCAAACTTTCATACAGTTAGGATCGTCTCAAAACTCTCACTGGGTCAAACCTTACTACAATTAGGACCACAATCAAAATCTCTTTTCGATTCATTTTGTGAACGAAAGATCCACTTTTGAATTGAATAATCAAACCTTATGACAGTTAGGATTATTCAAACCAGTCCAGATTCTCTAAGTAGAGATCCCATTTTGAGTTTCTTTTGCAATAGGAGATAGAATATAAAATTCTTCCTCTCCAATTTTGTGTTTATCTCTACCAACAAACAAGAGACCAGGAGACAGAATATAAAATTCTTCCTCTCCAATTTTGGGTTTATCTCTACCAACAAACAAGAGACCAGGAGATGAAATATGAAATTATTCCTATCCGATTCTAGGGTTTATCTCTACCAACAAACAAGATATTGAAAGATAGAATACCCAATTCTTTCCTCATAATTTTGGGTTCATTTTCCCGCATAGAAAATGTGACCTATTTGCATTTCAAAAGCCATGCCATTTACGCATGGGGGATATTATCTCTATCCCTTATTAGAGATAAGCCTACATCTAACACATGTAGCCTACATATTCAACATTGTAGTTCAAAGTCTAAAAGAGTTTAATTCTTTTAGCGTAACATTATATGTGTGTAGACGGTAAAAAATACCTCCATGGGCTTACAGGAAATTCAAGAACTCGCACGCTCAGTTCTCTAGCACGGGCCTAAATCGTGTGGACGTCAAATGTACTTGGTTCCAGATTCGCCTGAATGATCGGCTCGCCTGCACGAGTTGAGATCAATTGGAATAGCGGAAATTCGCCTTTCACGCGACTCGCCTGCCCGAGTCCAAAGTCGAATCCGCCTGCAAACCTCCAGGCCGTCAGTACAGCTGGGTATCCGCTACCCCACGTACAGAGATAGGCTTTCCCACCTCTCTCGGCCTGAAGGGAGAGGGCACAGTACTCTAAGACCGCCAGGCGGCCGCTCACAGTACTTGCAGCGCAGAGGACTGGACAGGTGTCGAGTCGACCTGAACAGTCATAAATGCGACTCACATCGGCTATCTAAGTCGGGAGACGAATCCGCCGGCGTTCGGCGAACTGTCCAAACCCACTCGAGTACCAGGAACACGCTTTCCCGCCTCTCCTGACCTGAAGAGAGAAGGCACGGCACTCCAGGCCCGCCGAACAAGTGAGCAGACAGGTGTCAAAGCAGCCTGCGCCCTCATAAATGTGGACTCACCTAGTTGTCCGAACGAGGGGACGAGAGCCGCCGGTGCTCGGTGGTTGGTCAGATCCACGCAAGCATCTGACAGCCGCTGTTACGCATACGATGAGGGGCTTTCCCACTCTTATGTAGCATGATGCAGAACGCAGCCCTTCGAATGACCACTGACGGTACGAATGAACAACAAGACACCCCTGGACAATGTATGGTCACATCCCATAATTCAAGGAGTAGTCAAGCTGTCCTTCTTCCATTTAAAAACCCCTTCCAGCACACTGGAGAGGAGGTCGCAAAACTTGGAGAAAAGTAATTGAGACCAAGCTGTTAGCAGATCCTTGCATTACAGCACCACTGCCTAGTTCTGAGCTCCGATCGCCGGCGAACTAAGCAGACCCGAACTCCATCGATTCGAGCTTCTACTGCGAACTAAAGCTCTCCAGCAACCTCGATCGAACGGTCCAAGGGAAGCAGACTCGACACGAGCATCGAGCGAAGCATCCTATAGCCACCTAAAGTCCCCACACAAAACAAAGAGGGCATTCCCTCTGTTTCTGTTGTAAACATTTGATTATTAGTTTGTAATAAGCTTTCTTATTAATACAAACGAAACTCCCTGTTTTGTAATAAGCTTTCTTATTAATACAAACGAAACTCCCTGTTTTCGGGAAATCAAATTTACACCATACAATGTGAAATGAACTTAGATAATTCACATACTAGCCCGATTCAAACGGTAATCGGTAAAGGCATATCAAACCCGTTGATGGCTGAGGATTTGCCAAAAATTCTATGAGTATTATGGCTATTTATTCTAAACAAGAATGAGTAACCACAATTAAAATATCAATGAGCAAAAAGTTCACTATACTAACCAAAAGAGTTCAAACAAAACAGCATAAAAAGAAATGTATGTCCCCAAAATTACAATAGTTTGTAATGACGAATTTGGTCCTCTAATTGGGAGAGCTCTGTTACATAAGCTAGTTCGAGCTCGGGTATCAAGTTGGCTTTAAAATTTTCTTCATCCATGCTTCGAATGTTGGCGACCTCTTGCATTTTATCAGCAAAAATCTTGCCTTGAAGATTCAACTGTCGAAGCAGATCCACCTCGGCTCGGGTTACCTCCGCCAGATCGGATTTCAAAATTTCATGAGTGTCCCTAGCTTTCACAAGTTGCTCCTGTAACCGAGCTATCTCCACTTGACTCGACTCTAAATCACGATACAGGTCAACCTTGATCTGTGCTTTCTTAGCAACGCTCTCCTTAAGTTGATCAATGCGGGTTTGCAGCCTTTGAAGTTCGGACTCAGCAGATTTCTGAGAATCACGCCATGCCTGCAACCTCAAGTCCATTCGAGGAGCAATATAAGAAGGCGCACCACTAACACGAAGATTCTGCAGATGTTCGACGTTTTGTTTAAGGTTAGATAAATAAGCTTCGATCGAGTCAGATAATTCAGTGCATCCGTGTTCTCGAATTCCTGATACATGGCGATCGAGAGATTTCCTAAAATGTTCGAAAAGTGAACCTTTAAGGAGAATTCGATCAACCATGATGTTTAAGAAAAGGACGAAACTTTGGACGTCAGCATAAATGACAGCTTTGTCCGGATCTTCATCTGCCAATAAAGCTTGAATACGCTCGGACAATGATGAAGAAAGAGCTGCAAAGAGAATAAAGGGGATAAGTACAAAAGTATGTACGCTCGCTGGAAGACTTCACAACTGAGTTACCTTGGCTTGTTGAGGTTGTAATGGTCTCTATAACAACAGGGATTTGTTCAGGAATAACGCTTGTCGGTTGATTCACTACACCAGACGATTGTTCACCTGAAGCCCCCGATGGCTTCGGATCCAGATCGACAAATTCTTGAGGAACAAGTTCTATAAATGAAAAAGGATGAATAAACACTCTACAAGTATAGATCCAACTTCAAAGCATATCAAAGAGGAGACGTACCAAGTTGAGCCGGAGTGGCAGGAGGTTGCTCTTCCACGGTAGTCTTCGACCCTCCAACTTCATGAACCATTGGAGTCGGATCGGAAGTTACAACAGGTTCAGCTTCGACAATATCAGAGGTCAGAGGAATAGTAATTAATGGTTCAACTTTAGCTGGAGGACCTGTCAAGAGCAGGAAACCCAAACCTTCAGGTTGATCACATTCGCCAATGACAGTAGACGCATCAACTTCATTCATTGGTCCTACATTTAAATTTCTTATTCTAGTCATTAAAAGATAGGAAATAAAAGCTTAATTGAAGACTCGAGTCTGAAAGTACATACCTTCTGATGTGCCTACTTCAGCTGAATCAACTCTAGTTGTTGGTCCTGCAGTAGCGGTCGGAGCCGGAGCTGACAGTATATCGGAGATTTTCTGGTGTTCATCTTCAGAAATATCAAGATTGAAATCATGTTCGTTGAAATCTCCGATACCCATATCATGGGTAAGTTCTTGATCTCTCGGCTCGTTAGCAAGAATGTCTATTGAGCAGAAAAATCCGTCAATAAATATGCAAGAACATGAAGGGATCAAAGCAAATAAAATTAAGGTCACCTTCAATGACGGTGGCGGGATCAGCAGCACTACTACCCGCACTCACCTCCTTTAGTTTAACTAAAAGATGATAAAGCGCACAAGTTAGTAGGAGAGGAACATGTTCCGATTCACTTATCTCTCGGAAATGCCCCCCAAATGAAAAAACATATGTACCTGTGTCGGCGGTTGGCGAGGTCGATGTAGTAACCGGAGGAGGGGCAGTGTCCACGTTGAGGGGTTCTTCACTCATCGCTCTGTGTACTTGCTGAGTGAAGCTGGATTCGTCAACATCCATTAAACCCGGAGAAGAAGGTTCGGGCATGATTTCTCCTTCCTCTTCTGGTTCAGCTGCAATAGCAAAAGAATAAATAAGATGCTATGTTCAAGGATAAGATAGTGAAAAGGAGATAAGAATGAAACCTTACCCCCTTGATCAACCGGAAGATCCTGAGTAAACTCCTCTTCAAGCAACAGGGGAAGTTGACGTTGTCGATGAGCCATCTTCTTAATCCTCTTCGAAACACGAGAATCTCGAGGAACTTCAGAGCTTTCATGCCGAAATTTGGTGCGCAATTCAGACCCTTGAACAGGGCAGGATTGAGCCTCGGAAGAAGCAAGAGGTCGGGACCTCTTTCTGCCAACAAGTGGGGTGACATCTTCCTCTTCTTCTTCTTCTTCTTCAAAAGCGGGCCATCTGACGGTCATCTTGTTAGAAGACGATAAAGGAATATTCTTCTCTCTCATTCGGATATCCTTAGAAGGAGCACCGGGTGATCGGGGTGAAGAAGCTCGATGAGTCCTGTGAGCCACGGGAGAAAGAGGGACATCAGCCTCTGCTTCATCTCTAGTTTCATCCTCCTCACTGGATGTTTCGAAGTCATCACTCTCTTCGGAATCAATTGCTTGTTTTCCTTTGCAGGAAGACGTAGCGGGCTCCTTTCCCTTTTTAGATACAATTCTCCGAACCACAGCCTCGGATTCCAGTTCGAAAATCTTCTTCTTCGTAACAGGAGTGTTAGCGGCTAAAATCCACCGGCAATAAACAAATGTCATGTGGAGATCAGGCTCAGCGACAGGCAAGCTAAATTGAGCTTCAGTACAACCAGCAACATTCCAGAACTAGGATCGCACTCCATCGATAAGACCTCCGCAGGTTATCAACCATTTATTGGGATTCCCGACCTATAATTGATCGTAGCCGAATTATCGCGCAAACCGGCAAGGAAAATAAGGCTCGATCCTGCATAGGTTCCTCAACCGGAAAACATTGTAACCTGGTCGGATGTTCATAAGCCAGTGGAAACTACCCATGTTGAGGGAGGTCCTGTTGGTCCCAGGCATCTCTTCATCAATGAGTGTGTCATTATATGCACCAGAAAACCGAGGGAAATACTTATAAAATTCCCAGCACTTGGCATTCTTAAACTGCCTCGCCCTGTCAGGCCATTGTCGAGAAGGATTCAGCAATTTACATCCTTCCAAGAGCTGTAGCAAAGGAATTTCTGGATCGGACACGTCAGGTGCTGACATCATGTCTGTTCGATGGAGGACCAGCCACGCCATTAAGTATGTGTATGGCAATTCAACACTCGACAGGGGAATCTTAGTCGAAGGCTCGGCATCCACTTTGGTAAAGGTGTTAGCCAGGTTACGTAAACCGCTGTGGAGGTCGGCAATCATGGCGGAGAGTAAAGATAATCTACCTCCGATGGCTAATTACACGGCGGGAAGGAGAACCTCAAGAGGAAGCGCCTCGGAAGACTGATGCGGCACTACACATTTCTTTAACCATATGGCCAGGTAGCCGGAAAGGAGGGTCTCAGGCCTCATTCTCTTTGTGGATTGCCATAAGAAAGTACTGAATTTTGTACCCCTAAGAAAGCCACCTTCAGATGATTCAGTTCTATAAGACTGGGCATTAATCTTCGTAATCAGCCTATTAACATCAGAAGGGGTCAGAATAGGTGATTCACAGACAGCTTCACCGGTCGGGCTCTCGAGATTCTGGAATAAGTAGTCAGCGAACTGCTTTAGACTGACCCGAGCTGCCTTCTTACTCTTCACCTCGATCCTGGCTATCACTATCTGGTAATGATAAGTTAATTCCCAGAGAATGTCATAAGTGGAGAGCCAGCCTTCTTCATCTTCATAAGTTGACGGTTGTTTGGAAAATATTCTTGGTAAGGAGTATTCCCCAATGGCAATCCAGATACTTTCATCATTTTATGGAGTGGAAGCCCTAACTCTCCATACTTAGTAAGAAATGTATTGGTCTCCGGATTATAAGACTCGAACAGGGCGAGAAAATGATCTACACTTACTGGAAGACCATGCATGCTGGCTCGGATTGGAACATATAACCCTGAGTTCATTAACTCCTGATCCCAACGATTAAGTACATAGTTGGTCATCCTAGTCCACCATTTGTCTGGAAGAGAATGAACTCACCCGTAACATCTGAACTTCGGAAGGGGGAATTCTCTGCCGACCCGAGCAAGCCTATTCTTAACCGTGTTCGGAAGGGGGAATTCTCTGCCGACCCGAGCAAGCCTATTCTTAACCGTGTTGGCCCTTATCATCAGCACATTTTGAGGCCCACTATCTGGTCCAAGTATCCCCAGATGAAGGCCGCGAATAGTATGCCTACCACTGGAGCCAGGAGCGCTGACATCTTTACCAACGAACCTGCAATGAATGCGTTCATGGTCATCTGTCAAGTGCCATGACATCTTCCTCGGAATGGCCAAATTCCATAATTGCAGAATTGAACATTGTCGAGGGAATGGGGGAAGGAATAGAAAATCACCTTCGTGCTGATTCAACCAAATTTCGGGACCACGTCAAAGATTATCTGGGTCTTCAATCGAATCCCCGAACAAGTAATCAGGCTTCTTCAACGGTTCGGTGGAATCGCGAATTGGAGTTAAAGATGAGTCAGTCAGCAATGCTCGCATAGTGCGACGACCTCCTTCACGAACTAACTCAGGAACGCTATCATCACAACCTTCACTAAATTGACGGGCTTCTCTAACCAGGAAGTCGCCGTTGAAGGAGGCATGAAGGTTACCACTCTGGCCTGGGTCTTCTCTATCAGAAAAGACCATAGAGGGAAAAGGGACTGTAGAGAAAAGTTGGAAAATAGTTGAATGGCAAGGCTAAACATAGCGAAACCCCCGCACTTAGTAGCCGCGACAGTGGTTGCTACCGTGCATTACCGCGGCAGCATACACTGCCGCGCTCAGGCATGGCAGTACGAGCTACCGCGGTAACTGAACAGCGAGTCCAAACCTCAAAAAATCATGAGTTTGAGCCAAATTGGTATTTTGGTCGTGGTACACATCTTGATTAAACAAGATATGTATTTTGCAGCGTCAATCCCCTCGGAGGAGGATGTCAACTCTTCCCGGATGCCCCTCAAAGGGGGCAAGCGAGGTTATACGAGCGAAAAGCAGTAATTTTGAATGGAGGAAAAGTTGAAAAATTACCTCCGAACGAAGTGGCAGCGGCCTCCGTCTCCTCAGATGCGGGGACTGCAGATTTACCCTTGGGAGCACGAGCTTTCTTGGGAGACATGGTGAAATCAACCTAGGAATAAGGAAAGTTAGGGTTTAGAGATGAGATCTCGAATTAAATAGCAAAATAAACATGAAATACAAGGGATGGGCTCGGTTTTACCAGAGGATAGAAGGAACCGAACTTGAAAGATGAGAAAACGGAAGGGAAAGCTCGAAATCAAGAAAAACCAACAAAAACCCTAGATCTCATGCAAAGGGGAATCACCCAAATAAGAAGCTGTGAGGAGGAGAAGAGCCAAAGGTCACTTTATATAGGGTATTTGAAGAGTTTCGAACTCAAAGAAGCGGGGAAGAATGACCCGAAACAGCCCAAATCAGTCTTATAAACCCGACTGGCCGAAGCTCTGCGCGGCACTCAACACTGTCGCGTTCGAGTGCGGCAGTATATACTATCGCGCTCAAGCGTGGTAGTAGAGGCTGGCACGGCAGTTAATGTACCACAGTCCACTCGGAAATGTGGGAGCACCATGCATACGCGATGATCCCTGGGGTGTTTGAACACATACATCTCCTGCTGTATCTGGAATACATACTTGAACACTCCGATAAGTATATGAGTATAAACTGCATCTCCTTGAACCTCCCAACGGGTGTATGAGGTTAAACTATTTCCCGAACACTCCAATAGAGTATATGAGTATAAACTATTTCTCTATTCTTCGACGGCAGTTCAAATTCAAGACTTCGACAATGGTCACGCGATAAACGCAATACCGGAGGAATTTTAGCTATTCTACAAAGCACTGAATAGGCTAAAAGATAAAAAAATCAAGAATTGAAGCCATCCATAGACTATGTTACGCAACTTCCTCAACAAAGTACTGAAGAAATTGCAAAGAAAACTTATCATATCCAAAGTGTCCCAGCCTCCTCTCCAAAAAATGATGAGTCTGAGATACTTTGGAGGGGGTATCTGTAGGCGTTAAAAAATACTTACAGACATCCAAATACTACTCAAGACAAAGAAACAACGATAAACGCCATCTTCTTAATCAGAGGGAATCATTCAAAGGAAGTGAGACAACATGTACACACCAATAGACAGCACTTAGTGCCACGGCTAAGGCGCGGCAACTCATGGTGCCGCGGCTAAGACGCGGCAGCCTAGGGTGTAGCGGCTATTACAAGGGGTGTTGTAGCAGTTACAAGACAGTTGTATGATGATTTTTTGAAGCCCACGTGGCAGCATATCAGAAATAGAACGTGTGCTGACGTGTACAAGCAGTTAAACCACGAAAAAGGTGGTTAAAGGTCGTGGGAGAACGGTTTCAAGCACGATGAAACGTGCTGGTAACTGCCTCTTTGGCCGCGGTAGTCCACACTGCCGTGCTAATAGCCACGGCAGTGTCGACTGTAGCGGCCAAAGAACAGGCACCCAGTCAGTTATTTCGCCCCCATTTCAACTGTTGTGCACTCTTACCCCTATAAATACCTCCCTAGACACGAAATAAAGGACAGAGAGCAGTTTTGGAGCAGAAGAGACTTGAGCTTTTGGTAATTTTGAGGCAGAAAGAGAGAACTTTCACCCTTTGACAAGTATCATTCGGTGATTCCTAGAGATCTAAGGAGAACTTTCACCCTTTGACAAGTATCATTCGGTGATTCCTAGAGATCTAAGCTCAGACTTGATCTTTGGAAGAGTGAATATCTTACATCGATCTAAGCTCAGACTTGATCTTTGGAAGAGTGAATATCTTACATCGATAAGATACTCGCTTTCAAATCCCTAGTTCGATAAATGAAGGAATGATCCTTAAACACCCTCACGATATGTGAATCGGTGGTCCACGAGTCAAAGCACTCACGGCACAGGCAAAGTCCCACAAAAACAGGAGTTAATAAACAATTTCTGTGTTATTTTCTCGAGAGTTGTATTTTCGTTTATTTTCATTGTAATTTCTTATAAACAAATCAAAGTTTAATAGAATCGACAATGGAAGCAACTTTCGTTGAAAACATGGGTTCATAACCCTAAGGCTTTGAGCTTAAATGATAATGGTCATATCCCTAAATCCATGGGCACCAAAAGTATTTGGGTGCTAAAATATTTTTGATTTTTAAAATCAAATTTTTAGTGCTTTTATTTTTTTATTTTGAAAAACATGTTTTTGAATTTTTTTTAAAATTAAAAAAAATCTTTTAAAGTCAATATTTTGTTTTTCATTATACATTATAAATTTTTATTGGCTTTATTTTTTATGAGAGGCTTATGTTTGAGCAATCCCCCAGATTTATTGGATATTTATTATCATATCATGCTTACCGGGTGCTAAAGTTTTGTTTGTGTTGAAACAACCTCAAAGATTTGATATGGTTACCTCTCTTGTCTTTTTGTCGAATATGACAAAAATCGATATTAATTTATTTTTGTGTGATTATGGTTTAAATCGTGATTCATAGTTTCTTTTGATCATGATTTGTAATTGCATATATTATTTTTATTTGATTGATTTATGATTTTATTTGATTGATTTGTTTTTCATTTGGACTTTCATGGTTGTCATGATTTTCATGGTTCTCATATCTTGTCTTCATTTGAAAAATGTTTTTCATCCTCTTGATTACATAAATCTATATTTTTTTTATTACGTTTTGTTTTCAAACCTATGCTTCAGACACTATTTTTATAATGACATATCAATATGTGTTCTTATGACCTTTTTGAATGTGAGTTATAATTAGCATGTTCTTCATCTATGCTTGCTCATATGTTTGCCTTAGTATTCATTTCATATATTCTATGAGGCTTTTTGATAGGGGAGACTTTCCTATTTATTTTATTGTTTTTATACTCACTTATGCTAATTTGTAGGGGGAGCTTACGCTCTTTTATCTTTTATTTTTTCCCCTCATTTTGATGTTGACAAAGGGGGAGAAACATGTCTATTATGAGTATATATTTCTTTGGTTTTATGCATGATGATTTACATATTCATTTAGTATCATGCATATCTCCTTGTGTAGATTGTTTGTCATCGTCAAAAAGGG